CTTCCTGACAGCCCCAAAAAGCAGCCCTCCTAGTCAAACGGATCCCATGACAGAATAACTTGATTCCCTTGCAGTTTATGGAATGGCACCATATTGAGAGCTCAGAAACGAAAAATACTTTCTCACGGCATTTTTATGTAAGAGTTTCCAGCTGTCCCGAGTGTGTGAGCCAGCTTTAGTCCCTGGGGTGTCGCTATGGGAACGCTGTTATGGCAGCTGCTTTTAGCACAGATTTGAGGCTCCTTGCAGCTTGGCTGACCCGAAGCACAGCTTCCGGACCGTGTCGAAATAGCTAAAGGTATCTCTCTTGAAAAAAATGCAGATTAAATAGTTTGAGAGGGAGGATGTAACCAGCAAGCATCAGCAGCTGTCCAGATCTGCAGGTTGGGAGGATACAATATATTTAGAATTAGAAGTTTAAGGTTTTCCTCAGATGCACTGGATATTTCTGAGATCTTTTTGGCCGTTTTTGCATTAGCAGGAAACTGTCTTAGTGCTGAATCTAAAGGTCTTGATCCTGTAGCGTTAGAGAAGATATATGGTCTTGTGGTGAAGGCTCTAAACTGGAGCTCAGAGCTGGGTTCAAATTCTGTCTTTTGTGACTTTGGGCAGATCACTTTAATCTCTGTGTCTCTGTTCCTCATCTGCCATTGGCCAGTCCTGCCTGTTGACGTGGAGCTCCTCCAGGACAACGACACTTGCTCTGTTCGCCCAGTGCTTAGCACATTGGGGTTCTTGTCTGGTTTGAGGCTTCTGGGCACTACCATAATGTATATAAAGTGTAGCCCTCACTCACACCAAACTTGGGTGTGAATCGTCCTAATTAAGAAAATTTGCTAATCATGTGGTCAGGGCGGGGTCTTTAATGTATCCAGGGTGTTTTTGCACAAGGGTGTTTGTGTTCTGTAGGAGCCACAGACTAATGATTAGAGTTGAGATTTATGGTGGATTTAGAAGTCACATTTCATCCTATCCAAACCTTTTTGCCAGTTTACAACAGCAGCCAACATCCGCTAGGGCCAGAGGTGACTTTCCCTCTCCTTCAGTTTGACTTTCAGTGGCAATGTTTGTGATGTGTTGGGTGGAAAGAGAAATAACCGCAAGGAGCTTGGGGCAGGATTTGGATGGCTATCAACACACCAGCAGTTTCTTTTACTTTTCCAGCAGCAGGGTATGCATCTCTGCCTCAATATGCACTCTGCTTTGCAGATGCTCCCTGCTAGTTGGGCAATTCATGCTTATGTTTCCCTGCTGGTTGGGTTGCGTGGCCCTCTGAGTCATGCTGCAAAACCATCCTTCAGCCCTTCCTGGGATCGGTGGTCTTTGTGACACAGCATTGCTCAGTAACCCTTCTTCCCACCCTGGCTACAGCTGTCGCCTCTGAATGGCTTCCTTCTGAGGTCCTTGCCTCTAGGCCTCCTCCCTGACTCTTTTTTTCTCCACGGCCTTGAGCCCTTTTCCCTTCCCTGAATCTTTCCTGCCTCTTTACAGGCCCCTTTCCCCTTTCCCTGCCGGTTTGCTTCCCTGTTCTGTTAGGTAGAGACAGAAATCTTGCCTTGTCCTTATTCTCACTAGGCTGAATGAGAAACTAGCCTTACCCAGCTCTCAGTCACATGGTTCACATTATACCTTCCATCAGATGACAAGGCCACATCCCTGTGAATGCCCATTTGGGTCTTAACCTGGATTGGAGCCAAACTTCCCTTAAAGGACCAGAGAGTATCCTGTTACAGTCCCCAGTTCTGAAAAGGACCTCTTCTAGCACTGGAATACAACTGATAAATGAATGGTTAATCGATAGTCAGAGATTAAAATCTAATCAGCCCACATCAAAGGGTAACTTACTAAAACTACTGCATACCCAAAGTAGTAGTACAGCACTGCCAACCCCAAGCATGCAAATATCCTGGAAATCATTAAAAAATAAATTGGGGTCTTTAACCTTCTTTTGAGTCTTAAGCATTCAAATTTTCAAGCTTTTCTCTGCAGCCAGGAGAGCTAGAAACTTTTTTTTAAATGAAAGCTCAGAAGCTGGGACTTCAATACAAAGCACTAAATAGTGTGATCAAACTGAGAATTGGCTGCCCTTCAGTGTGCTTTTCCCTTTTTCATACTTCGGCTGCTCGCTAAAGTAAGTTGGGAGAAGTTTGCTCTTTTCAACTCTTTTTACTTCCTGTTAAGGCTAAGCATTGTCTCTAGAATCATTCTTTCTGCTCCGAACATGGCCTAATATAATTCAAGCTGGTGTGCATAGACTCTCTGATTTAATAATGCACAGTAATTGTGC